AAACTTTAAAATTTGCATTATTTATTAAAATTTACAAAAAAAAAAAGTTACTGTGTAATATTTGACAATGGATACAAACCTCTTTGTAAATATTTTGTGACTTAATATTTTTTAATTTAAATTTGTGTTGGCACAAGAGTTCCTATGAAGAGTATTTCCTTTAAGTTGTCAAATATTTTTTTCTAAAAAGCTTTATTGGAGACTGTATTAAATGTGAGACAATAGAAAGAAGAAGTACAAAATTTGAGTCCAGTATATCATCATATGAAGTACAGTGAGTATTGTTATCTGAAGTACAGTGAGTATTGTTATATGAAGTACAGTGAGTATTGTTATCTGAAGTACAGTGAGTATTGTTATATGAAGTACAGTGAGTATTGTTATATGAAGTACAGTGAGTATTGTTATATGAAGTACAGTGAGTATTGTTATATGAAGTACAGTGAGTATTGTTATATGAAGTACAGTGAATATTGTTATATGAAGTACAGTGAGTATTGTTATATGAAGTACAGTGAATATTGTTATATGAAGTACAGTGTGTCTATTGTTATGTGAAGTACAGTGAGTATTGTTATATGAAAACAGTATTATTATATGAAATATAGTGAATGTATGGTTATATGGTGTACAGTGAGTCTATTAAGTAGTGAGTAGCATACAAGGAATTGATATATTTTGTTAAAATCTTGAAATTTAATAAAATTAAGGGATCATGAAGGTAGTGAAGAAACTTCATCAGTGTCCTGTTTGTGAAAAAGTTTTTCAGTTTCATTATAAACTAAAGAGACATAACAGTACTCACACAGGAGAGAAGCCATATCATTGTTCAGTATGTCTGCAAAACTTTACTGCTAAATCCTCACTTAACCAACATCAGAAAGTTCATACTGGAGAAAAGCCATATCATTGTTCAGTGTGTCTGAAAGACTTTGCTACTAAATATTCATTTAACCAACATCAGAGAATTCATACTGGAGAGAAGCCATATCATTGTTCTGTGTGTCTGCAAGACTTCACTACTAAATCCACACTTAACCAACATCAGAGAATTCATACTGGAGAAAAGTTATATCATTGTTCAGTATGTGTGAAAGACTTTGCTACTAAATCTTCACTTAACCAACATCAGAGAATTCATACTGGAGAGAAGCCATATCATTGTTCAATGTGTCTGAAAGACTTTAATGATAAATCTTCACTAAATAGACATCAGAGAGTTCATACAGGTGAGAAGTTATATCATTGTTCATTTTGTCTGAAAGAGTTTATTGATAAATCCTCATTAAATAAACATCAGAGACTTCATACAGGAGATAAACCATATCATTGTTCAGTGTGTCTCAAAGACTTTTATGATAAATCCTCACTAAATATACATGAGAGAGTTCATTCAGGAGAAAAACCATTTCAGTGCTCAGTGTGTCACAAAGACTTTAGACAAATTGGTAACCTGAAATTACACATGAGACTTCATACTGGAGAGAAGCCATATCAGTGCTCAGCGTGTACAAAATTATTTAGAGTAAAATGGGCTCTGGTAAGTCACTTGCGCTGTCATACAGGAGAGAAGCCATATCGGTGTACAATGTGTCAAAAAGACTTTACAGAAAATTGTCACCTCACTAAACACAAGAGATTTCATGCAGGAGAGAAGACATATTGTTCAGAGTGTTTGAAACACCTCATTGATAAATCCTCACTAAAAAAAAAAAGCATCAGTGAGCTCATACTAGAGAGAAGCCCCTCTTCAAGGGGGGCTCCTTGGCGTGGTGAAGAGGCTCTTGGTCTGAGGAATTAGCCCTGTCGGTCTTCTTCCTCAGACCGAACCTAATTACCCCCCATTCTCCCCTCCCCTATCCCATCCTCCCCATCCTCCCCTTTTTCCATTCCTCCTCCTCCTCCTCATCCCTCCCCTTTTTCCTTCCTCTTTTTAGCCCATATAGTTTTTTGTTTTTTTTTTTTTTGGGTCCCTGGTCATGTCGACGTACAAGGGCAATAAACAGCAGACACTGCTGCGGCGGTCAGCAGTATAGACCTACCAATTTCCTATCGAGGTTTCCATTTCTAGAACTAATTTTGCTGCAATACTACCCACCTTCGCACCCGTGGCACAACGTTGGTCAATCCGCTCGGTAACAACTTCATTCTATTAAAAACTCGACATAAGTTACTGGCCGTCTTCTTTGTCCATCAGTGCCGAGGTTGGAGATCCACTCTCCCCCGCTCTTCGCATATGGCCACACTCGTCTACTCATGGTATCTCATGGAGAGGCACCCTGTTCCTCCTGTGAGCAGTGTCAAGTTCCAGTATCGTTAGCCACATTTCTGTTAGACTGCCCCTCTTATCAACTAGCACTGCAGAATATTACCTTCCAACGTCGTCTTCGTTCTCCTACTCTCTCTTTACCTTTCCCTTCTTGCTGAGGACCCTCCTTAATCACTGACTCTCCTCATTTGACTTCTTGACAACGACTGATTTACTCCACAAAACTCTGATGATACTTTTCACACTCCCCTCAGCCTTTCTGTTCACTTGTCCTCTTGCTGCCTTTACCCTTTCACCATCCCACTCCCGTCTGTTATCCGTAACCTGTTGCTCATCCATCTCCCTTTTGCCACCTGATGCCCTCGCTTCCTTCCTGCCCTCAGCGCTGTATAGTCCTTGTGGCTTAGCGCTTCTTTTTGATTATAATAATAACAAACTTCATTCTATTAAACCGAACTTAGGTTACTGGCCGTCTTCTTGTCATACAGTGCCGAGGTTGGGAGACCACTCTCTCCCAGCTGTCGATTGGCCACACTCGTCTTACTCATGGTATCTCATGGAGAGGCACCCTGTTCCTCCTGTGAGCAGTGTCAAGTCCAGTATCGATTAGCCACATTCTGTTAGACTGCCCCCTCTATCAACGAGCACGCAAGAATTACCTCCAACGTCGTCGTCGTTCTAACTACTCTCCATCTTTAAAACCTTCCCTTCTTGCTGATGACCCACCTTTATATCCTACTCTCTCATTGACTTCTATGACAACGACTTGATTTACTCCACAAACTCTGATGATACTTTTCGCACTCCCCCTCAGCCCTTTCTGTTCAGTCTCTTGCTGCCCTTTTAAACTTTAAACCCTTTCACCATCCCTGCCCCGCCTGTTTATCCGTAACCTGTTGCTCATCCATCTCCACTTTTGCCCATTCCTGATGCCCTCGCTTCCTTCCTGCCCTGCAGCGCTGTATAGTCCTAGTGGCATAGCGCTTCTTTTTGATTATAATAATAATAATTCACAACCCCATTCTTCGCAACGCTCCGTTCCTCTCGCTACTTGAACATCTTCGAATGCACCACACGTTGACTTTTCTAACCCCTCTCAGTCGTAGTGCCTTTACCTACAATTCCTGAATTTTCTTCATCAGAGAGCCATCATGCCTATTTTACAGGGAATATCCGCGGCCTCAGGGTAATATCGGGTGAGCTTCAGATGTTCTTTCCAGGTTTTCCACCTGTTGGTGCTTCTTAGCAAGAACCAAAATTACACGTCGGCTGTTTTCCAACCTATCTCAGGCTATAATTTTATGTGTATTCTTCGGATTCACTTTCTCAGATGGAAAACCTTTAACGTGAAAGTGCCCTTCTTCTACGCAATGATAATTCCGTACTGTCACTATTTGTCCAATACCCTTGCTGCATAACTGCAGCCCGTATCCACTTGAATAAAGTGGTTTTTACAATATGTTCTTTTATGTCTCTCCTCCTCTCGAGCATTTTCTATCCCAGACTTTGCCTTTCTTGTTTCATCCTTACCCACCCCACCACTTCTGTTACTCTTGTGATTTTAATGCCCACCATTTCATCATGGGGGGGGGTCTCAAGTGACTCACGTGGGCATCAAGTTGAGCTTTTCTTGCCTCTCACCCCCTCCATGTTTTAAATACGGGTAACTCCCACCATTTTGATCCTCGTACTCATACTCTCCTTGCATAGATCTATCAGTCTGCTCTTCCTCCACTGCACTAGACTTCACCTGGTCTGGTTCTACCAGACTTACATGACACGATCATTTTCCGATAATTCTTTACTTCTCCTCCTATTCACCACCTTTCCGTAGCCCCTCGCTGGCATTTGAATCGGAGTAAATTGGGATCTTTACTCACACCGTCACTGCTTTAGTGAGGTTCCTACTTCAAATCCTCCATGAGAGCTCCTACACATCTTCACGACATCAGTTTATACCGCAGCTTTCTACATTCCTATACCCCCAAGGCCTCAGGCAGGCATTTCTCAGAAGTGCGTGCCTGGTTGTCTCCTGCTTGTGCTGTGCAGTACGTTGAACCGTGGCTGCATGGGCAGTAACCGGTACACAATAGGAACCGCTGAGAGACTTGTTGATTTTTAACGCAGAAGCGTAGCAGTCGCTCCGCTCATGTCCATCCGTTAAGCTAACGCACTTGTTTGCAGACTATGTTTCCACCATCCCCCCCCCACCCCCCCCGCTGCTTCTTATATGGGTTACAAAGTTCGAAAGGTGATACCTAACAAACCGCAACAATTAGAAATTGCTGGCGTTTGTCACCCAGCCGAAATATTGCAGATCTATGGCCCGAATGCCAGTCTGTGGTGCCGACAACCATTCTAATACATCTTGCAGTAACCTCCATCTTGCCTTAATTGTAATGAAAGCTCACCCTTCGTACACCCCGCCGTTGCCCAGGCTACTTAAATGAACGTGAAAATCCGTTGCCTCAAAGAGGCAAAGACTCCCCTATGCTATGCAGTTACTCATTCTTCCGCCTCCAAAGGGAGACTACCCCGTTTTCTTATTCTCGTGTTTCCACAAATACGTCCCCCCACTTCTGGGGTCCATCCGGCATGCCTCCCTGTTGTTACCCCTCCCATAAGCCCACTGCGGCATCTAATCTTTTGCTGTCTCTTGGCTCTGACGTCCCAAACTACAACTCAGTCTGTTCCCTCACATCTTCGCGTCCTTCCTGCCAAGCCCCAGTATCTGACAAGACATCGTACGACACCTAATACCAAATTCGCCCCTCTAACTCAGAAGTCCAAAAAATCCACATTGCTCAAATCTTCTTTGCCCCTCTGATCCTTCCCTCTTCCACCTCCACACTTTAACACCTTTCCAGTCTCTGTACCTAGTTCTTCCCCTCTCCTCTGGCTCTATTACAAGTGTGGAGAATTCACACACCCTCCTCCTCGTACTATGCCTTCCAACCCCCCCGTCCCCCCTCCCAAGTTTTCTCCCCTTCTGTCACCTTCCCGAGGTTTCTGCCTCTTCTGTCCCCCCCCACACTTCATCTCCAGTCCCTTTACACTTTTCCCTCCCCTTACTTAGGTACAGTCCATTTAAACTGTCCCCAATCTTTACTCACCCTCCTCCTCCTATCTCCAAATTCTCCCATACAGTCTTTGAATTCCAGAAACACCTTGGAAACCATTTCAGAATATATTGCAGAGACTAAACCTTCAATGGACACACTGATTCACTTCCTGTTCCTTCTCTTCCTCTCCACCATCTTCACACCCCATTCTGAGGAATTAGCCCTGTCGGGTCTTCTTCCTCAGACCGAACCTAATTACCCCCATTCTCCCCTCCCCTATTCCCACTCTCCCCATCCTCCCCCTTTTTCCATTCCTCCTCCTCCTTCCTCATTCCCTCCCTTTTGCCTTTCCCTTTTAGCCTTCGTGAATTCTCTCAAAGGCGCGCTGGTTCCTGGGTGGGGGAAAGGACGCCGGGTCCATCCCATTTCCGTTGAGGTTGCTTTTAGGCGGTGGCGTGGTTTGGCCGTGGAATCTGGATTGCCTGGGATGTCCCGGTCCCTCTCCGGGACCCGGAGTGGCCTTTGGGTGTCTTGGGCGACGGGTGTATCTCTGGAAGCCACCTTTCGGATTTCCGGGGGTTGGTGGCTGAGGAGGTGTGCTTTGTGGCGGATATCCGGCCGCCCTCTTCTTTTGTCCACGAGGTGGGCTCGGCAGATGTGAGTTGCTGTCCCAGATTGCTGGTACTGGCATGAAGGGTAGGGTGTGGCACGGGTTCCATGCTGCATCTGCGCTGCCTATGGTGGTCGAGTCCCTTGGCGATGAGGGAGATTTCCGGCCCCTTTTCGTTCCTCCTGGGAACTATTCCTCCCCCGCTCCCCCTTTTTTTGTTCTTTTTTTATTTTTATTTTCTTTTCATCTTTTTCATTTTTTTTCTTAAAACAAAAAGCAGGGGAGTGACCTAACCATGGCAGCCCTAGTCCATGAAACCACTACCCCCGGGCCCCTTCTTGATACCGCACCCCGTTCTGACCCGCTTGTGTTTGGACCACTCTTCGGACACTACTTCCTGATGCCCCTGTAACACTTTTGCTGTGCTGTTTCCTCACCCACTTCAGGTTACCCGGGCTTCGACTGACTCCTTCGATTTTCCTGGAACTCGCTCGTCCTTTGACTGTGCTTTTCCGGCTCTTCTCTCCCTCTGCGGTGCGGCAATTTTCGAATCGCCCACCCATTTCATGCCGGACCAACTCCGGTCCTACTCCTAAACGGCCAACGTCAATCGCCTGATGATGCTCCTGTTACCTTCCCATCTAGTCGGAAACGACCGACACTTCAAGCACTCCCTCTCCACGCTCAGTTTCGCCACAGAACAAGGACTAAATTCTTTACTTTGAGACTCAACTTCTTTCTTTCTTCTTCTGCCTACCTTCTGGACCATAGTATTGCCAAGGCGCCCTGCGTCATGTTGGCGAAGATATTTTCATTTCACGCTCTCAGGAGCGTACCGCAATCGCGCTGTCCAGAATGCTACCCCAGATCATGATCTTTCTCCCTTCGAATATCGATACTACACCTATCACCCTCCTTCAGGGGGCTCCTGGCGTGGTGAAGAGGCTCTTGGTCTGAGGAATAAGCCC